AAAAACAAAATAAAGACGAAGAGAGAAGGAAGGATCACATAATATTAGAATATACCATTTTATTATAATGTTTGTTCGATCCGATTATAACTTGTTAGCCATAGATAATTTATTTTAGGGAAAAATATTTGTCCAGGATTTAATTTTGTGTCATTTTAAATCTTAACCATTGATTTGTGTCAATTATTGATTATATTTATTGCGAATTACTAATTAAATAATAAGTTTGACCCAATAATTTATAACCGTTGATTGACGAAAATCAATAGTTAAAATCTAAAATAACACAAAATTATTGTTGTAAATAATATTGATTTAGTTATTATATAGTTTTTATTTAGTCATTTATTGTTGTATTGGGCCAAGCCCTTTGTTGTATTGGGCCAAGCCCGTTAGGTTAAAAGTAGGTCAAATATTCTCTATAAATAGAGAACCCTTTGTACAGATTATTTACAATTCTATAATATATTAGAATACCCTTTTTCAAGTTGGTATCAGAGCCTGGCCCTGGATCGGTGTGTACAGCGGAGACGCTGTATTCCCAGTGGGGGAGGATGTAATGTCCCACATCGGTTGGAGAGGGGAACGAAGCATGCCTTATAAGGGTATGGATACCTCTTCTAGTGTGAGGCCTTTTGTGGGGTGTCCCAAGAAACAAAACCGTGAGCTCGACGGTGCTTGTGCGCGGGGCAAAGCGGACAATATCATGCTACAGGGTTTGGGGCTGTTACATTTATGGTATCAGAGCTCTCGATCTGAGGGCTTTGCTTCCGCACATATTATCTTCTTTTTTAACAAAACCCTAATTTCTTTGCCTCTTGCCGCCATTAGCCGCCACCGGAAAATTTTTCCGGGGACCTTTTGGACCAAGGGGACCATTGTTGACCTTATTTTTCCTCCAATCTATCATTCTACGCAGTGTTCCTCCGCCACAAACGACCGAAACACCTCCGATCGCCTCCAATCAGATCTGTCTTCACCGTTTGGACCACTTTCCGGCGACTTTTCAACCGCGACCACCCACAGACAGGTGTGCGCTCACCGGACGACCACACCAGAAAAATCTCAGCCGGCGAAGTCCATCCACGCGCTCTCACGCGCCGCCCCTTTCCCGGCGAGTGAATCCCACGCGCAGCTCCTTTCTCCGGCGCGTGGAGGCGCGTGCGGCCGTGTTTTTGGACCGGACCACCACCATTCTTCTCGTCTTCTTGTCTTCTGTCTGGATCTATAATTATTTTTCTGATCAGAGGTCATTTGATATTCTGTTTGGTTGATTTTATCGCTGGTTGTTAACTTTTTTTGTTAAAGAATGGCTGAGCATGATAGTTCTTCGATCTTATCTGGTAAGAGCACACGTTCTATATCTCTTCTTGCTTCTTGCACTGATTTTAAAACCTCATGGATTTTGGATTCTGGTGCAACTGATCATATGGCTTGTCGTACTGAGTTATTTTGTTCTTATCATCCTACTGTTGGTAGTCATACTATATCCGTAGCTGATGGATCCCATAAATCAGTTATTGGTTCTGGTAACATTCAAATTCAACCTTCCTTGTTTCTTAAAAATGTTCTTTATGTTCCTCAGCTTTCTACTAATCTTATCTCCACTCAAAAACTTACAACTGATTTGAATTGTTCTATCACATTTTTTCCTTCTCATTGTCTTATTCAGGATCTTACCACGAAGAAGACAATTGGAGTTGCTAATGAACAGGATGGGTTGTATCATCTCTTTCCAGACCATGCTAGCAAAAATCAGTTATTAATGACACGTCATCCTTCTACTGCAGAGTCTATGATTTGGCTCCATCACAAGCGTCTCGGGCATCCACCATTTAGTCTTTTGAAGTCTATGTTCCCCTCTCTGTTTCTCAATAAGTCGGTTGAGACCTTTCATTGTGATGTTTGTGAATTTGCAAAACACCATCGAGTGTCATTTCCTTCTAGCACTATTAAAAGCAGAGAACCTTTTTCTCTTATCCATTCTGATGTTTGGGGCCCTTATAAAGTGCACAGTGTTTCAGGTGCTAGGTGGTTTGTTTCTTTTATTGACGATTGTACTCGGATAACATGGATATACTTGATGAAAGACAAGTCTGAAGTACCAGAGATATTTATTCGGTTTCATCACATGGTTGAGACTCAGTTTGGTAAGGGTATTAAAAGACTCAGATCTGATAATGGTACTGAGTACGTCAACCAACGCCTGTCACAATTCATTTCAGACAAAGGTATGATTCATGAGCTCACATGTGTTGATACCCCTCAACAAAACGGGGTTGCTGAAAGGAAAAATCGTCACCTTCTTGAAGTTGCTAGAGCACTACTTTTTCAGACATCTGTTCCTAGTTCTTATTGGGGAGAAGCAGTATTAGCTGCAACTTTTTTGATCAACCGTTTACCTTCACGGGTCCTTAACAATATCAGTCCTATTCATTCCATGACTTCCTTCTTTCCTTCTGTTCCCATATTGCAGAGCCTTCCACCAAGAGTGTTTGGATGTGTTGCCTTTATCCATGTTCATAAACAACATCGGAGTAAGTTGGATCCTAGGGCTCTTAAGTGTGTCTTCCTTGGTTATAACCCTTATAAAAAAGGGTACAAGTGTTATCATCCACCAAGTCGGAAATTTTTTGTTTCTATGGATGTCACCTTTCAAGAATCTGAATCTTATTTCCTGGGTCCTCATCGTCAGGGGGAGAATAGTTCTTCAGAAGACTCGTCCCCTTCCTTCTTTGAGTCTGGATCAATCTTCTCTCTTCCTAGTGTGTCTGCTCCTGGTGTGTCAGAACCTTCAAATACACCTGAGATACAACCCATACTGTCTCACCAGCAACCTCAATCGTCTGAACCACTGGTAAGTCCTGAATCTCCTATTTTTTCTGAATCTCCTGTTTCTGATTCTAATATTATTTCCTCTCATGATTTGTCTATTTCTTCTGATATCTCTAATGACTTACCCATTGCTTCTACTTCTGATGACTTACCTATTGCTCTTAGAAAAGGAAAAAGATCTTGTCACAAGAAAACTTGTTCCTCCTGTCCCTCTTGTACTCAATACCCTATCTCCCACTTTGTTTCCTCTGCTAATCTTTCTGTGCAGCACAAAAGCTTTGTTTCAGCACTAGATTCTATTGCAATCCCAAAATCAGTACATGAAGCCTTGAAAGATAGGAATTGGGCTCAAGCCATGCAAGAGGAGATGAATGCTTTGGAGAAAAATAAAACATGGGAGGTTATTGATAGACCCAACGGAAAGAAAGCAGTAGGGTGCAGATGGGTTTATACCCTGAAATATAATTCTGATGGCACTCTTGAGAGATATAAGGCTCGATTAGTGGCCAAAGGTTACACTCAAACCTATGGCATTGATTATGAAGAAACCTTTGCTCCAGTTGCAAAGATGAATACAGTGAGAATCTTGTTATCCCTTGCTGCCCATTACAATTGGGATATAAATCAATTTGATGTGAAAAATGCTTTCCTCAATGGTGAGTTAGAAGAAGAAGTCTACATGGAAATCCCGCCTGGTTTTGATTCTGTGAAGGGGGAAAATAAAGTTTGTAGATTAAAAAAGGCCTTGTATGGATTGAAGCAGTCACCTCGTGCTTGGTTTGGAAGATTTACTAAGGTTATGATGACCTTAGGATACAGACAGAGCCAAGGAGATCACACTCTTTTCTTCAAGCACTCCCAAAATGGGAAGCTTACTGTGCTCCTTGTATATGTTGATGATATTATTATCACAGGTGATGATTTTGTGGAGAGACAGATTCTGCAAACACGGCTTGCCTCTGAGTTTGAAATCAAAGACCTTGGGAAACTGAGATATTTCCTAGGGATAGAAGTAGCTCATTCAAGCAAAGGAATTTTTATCAGCCAGAGGAAATATGTTCTTGATCTTCTCAAAGAAGCAGGAAAGCTCGGGTGTAAATCCTCTAATACTCCTATTGAGCAGAATCACAAGATAGGCTATGAAGAAGAGAGTCCTCCAGTTGATAAAGGACAATATCAACGGCTAGTTGGGAAATTGATATATCTGGCCCATACTAGACCAGACCTAGCTTATGCTGTTAGTGTTGTCAGTCAGTTTATGCACGATCCAAAAGAAAAACACATGCAGGCAGTAGAGAGAATTCTTCAGTATCTTAAAGGTACTCCTGGTAAAGGATTGTTATTCCGACGTGATGGCAATCTATCTTTAGAAGTCTACACAGATGCTGATTATGCTGGATCCGTGACTGACCGTCGTTCTACCACTGGTTATTGCATGTTTCTTTGCGGTAACTTGGTGACATGGAGAAGTAAGAAACAAGATGTGGTTGCCAGATCAAGTGCAGAAGCTGAATTTCGAGCTATGGCTCAAGGCATTTGTGAGTTACTGTGGCTGAAAATTGTTCTTGATGATCTCAAAATAAAATGTGAGGGACCTATGAAGCTGCTATGTGATAATAAGTCCGCTATTTGTATAGCTCATAATCCAGTTCAACATGATCGGACTAAACATATTGAGGTTGACCGCCATTTCATCAAAGAGAAACTTGATAGCGGGTTGATTACCACTCCATACATTCCCACTGGGCGTCAATTGGCTGATCTATTAACAAAGGGGCTTCCTTCAGACAGATTTCAAGAACTTACTAGCAAGCTGGGAATGATAAATATTTATTCCTCAGCTTGAGGGGGAGTGTTGTAAATAATATTGATTTAGTTTTTATTTAGTTTTTATTTAGTCATTTATTGTTGTATTGGGCCAAGCCCTTTGTTGTATTGGGCCAAGCCCGTTAGGTTAAAAGTAGGTCAAATATTCTCTATAAATAGAGAACCCTTTGTACAGATTATTTACAATTCTATAATATATTAGAATACCTTTTTTCAAGTATTATATTTTTAAAAGGATAAACAATTTTTTCAATATTTTATTTCTAGAAATTTGAACTTGTGTAACAAGCCAGATTGACTACTAGATCATCACCCTATAAATATAGGCTAGTGTTGGCTTTGGAAAGCACAAGCAAGGATGGCAGAGGTGAAGCTACACGGATTTTGGTATAGTCCCTTTACTTGGAGGGTAGTATGGACCCTAAAGCAAAAGGGTATATCATATGATTACACAGAGGAAGACCGCTTCAACAAGAGTGCTCAACTTCTTAAATACAACCCAGTGCATAAGTTGGTTCCAGTGCTCGTTCATGCTGAAAAACCCATATGTGAGTCCATGGTCATTGTTGAATACATTGATGAGATATGGCCACAGAATCCATTGCTTCCTGCTGATCCATATGAGAGAGCTCTTGCACGGTTTTGGGTTAAATATTCCGATGACATGGTACATATATATATTTAGAAACTTAATCATTTGCATTTTTCTAGCCTTTCTTACACAATTCATGTTCAGTTTACCTTTCAGCTATAATTAAATTTAGTGTACCTTGTTTTTTTTGTCGATCATTACTTTCTATGCTCTAAAATTCTTATCATGATTCAAAGTGAAAATAACATATTGTGTGGTCAATTTTTATAGATTTCAACAATTGCAGCACTCTACCGCAGCAGTACTAGTGAAGAGCTGGAGAAGGCCATAGAGAAGGTCCGGGAGCATCTAAGAATTGTTGAGGATAACTGCTTTGGTGATGAGAAGAAATTCTTTGGGGGAGACATTATTAACATTGTTGACTTAGCTTTAGGGTCCGTTGCCAATTGTCTTTTGGTTATGGAAGATATCTTTGAAGTGAAGATCGTAGAAGCTGAGAAATTCCTTCGCTTGAATTCATGGTTTAATAATTTCAGAGATGTCCCGGTCATCGCAAAAAACCTTCCTGACCATGAAAATATTGTCGTTTTTCTCAAGTCTCTCAGAGAGAAAATATTTGCATCTTCCTAAGAAAATGGTAGCTTTAAGTGTGTATTTCTTAGTCATCTCGATATGTGTATTTATTTATTTACCCATCTTGGTTTAGGTTTGTCTTACGTACTTGTAAAAGTAATAAAAATCTAAGCTGATTATACTTACTTTCATATTAAATCAAGCTTCCTTTAAAATCACGCTCTCGAATCTCAAATATCAAATAGGTTGCTACTCGCTATTTAATTAATTGACTGACTGTTGGGATTATTTTAGAAATTCTACAACTAATTCTTTCTTCACCAGGAGTAAGGACTAAGGAGAGCAAATGGGCTGTTGTCTATGATAAATTTATATTTTATATATACCTTAAAATTTTGGCCTTAGGTTTTATTTTTCCTTTTTTTATAATTTATTTAGATATTTTTTCTTCTAAAATGTAACTAAATCTTTCAATTCTTCTTTTTTGGAAACAAAAAGAAAGATTTAGTAATATATGTTAAACCACTTTAAATGGAAATGTTAGCTGTAATGTTAAAGCTGCATCAAAGACGGGATATTATCGCAATACTAAATGTCACCTTTTTACTAGTCTATGAAAAGGTATTTTAATGGATTGGGTTAGTTTAGCTTTAGAGAAAAAATAATAAGAGTAAATATCTTTTTCAATCCAGTAAATTTTACGATATCTGTTTTAGTCCCTAGCAAATAAAAAGATTATTCGTGGTCTTTAAAAAATTTAAAGTGGATCTATTTTAGTCATTTTGAGGGACTAATGTGGTTCTTTTTTGAATTTGTTAGAGATCACGATTTCAATTAAATGAGTCTATTTTAAAAATTTTAGAGACCACAAATAGCATTTTTATTTACTAAAAACTAAAACGGACATAATAAAATTTGCTGATGACCTAAAAGAATATTTACTCTAATAATAAATTCATTCAACTACCCCCAATTAAGTTGGTTTCAGTTGGCTTTGAAAAACTTTCGTGCAATCCAAACCAATCCAATCCACCCTGATTAACATTCTAAATTTTATTTGCAGAATTTATAAAATGACTTAACTAATATAATTCACAGTTTATTTTTCTCCAAAAATAAATAGAATGAAAAAGTGACATTGAGAAACGAGATTTTTTACCCAAAACTTGCTATCATTATTTATGTTATTTTCATGCTATGCTGAAGAAGACCTGGTTAATATAATAAGCCAACTTATCACTCAAATATATATATATATATATATATATATATATATATATATATATATATATATATATATATATATATATATATATATATATATATATATATATAATAAGCCTATATATATATATATATATAAAATAAGCAATGGAACGTTCTTATTAGTAGTTTCCTTGGGAGAATCAATAAAAAGATATTCTCAGCGTTCCGGAGTACTTACACCATAGTTTTTCAGGCTATTTGACCATTGTATTCTTTTTTTCATTTTAAAAGTATTCTTTTGTCATCGTTCTAAAGTTATACATCAATTTGTCCTTTTTTGATCATTGACCAACCAATATATTTGAGTATATAATTATATACTCGAGTATATCAAGTCTCGTGAACATATATCCGAGTATATACTCAGATACTCGAGTATTTGCTGTTCCTGGGCATGTACTCGAATATATGTTCAAAAAAATTTCTACAGAACTTTTCCAACTCGTAGTTCTTAAAAAGTTATGTGAAATAAAAAAAAAAAAAACACCTGATTCAAACACCCAAATCAAAAGTTATGACCTTCCGAAGTTTTATCAAAAAATTTCCAAAATTTTGTAATGCTAATAAGAGGTTGTGATACTCGCAAAGCTCTTCCTCAGGTTATCTGAGTCAAGTCCAATATTATGCGTAATCTGAGGAGGAGCTTTGTGGATATCACAAAACCTATTGACATTATACAATTTTGGAAATTTTTTAATAAAACTTCAAAAGGCCAAACTTTTGACTCAAGTGTCCAAATCAGGTGTTTTTTTTTATTTCACATAACTTTTCGAGAGTTATGCGTTGGAAAAGTTTTATAGAAATTTTTTTAAACATATACTCGAGTACATGCCTAGAAAAAACAAATACTCGAGTATCAGGGTCATATACTCGAGTATCAGGGTCATATACTCGGGTATATGTTCATGAGACTTAATATACTCGAGTATATTGGTCATATACTCAAGTATATTGGTCAAACAGAGACAGATTGGTGTACAGTTTTAGAATGGGGACAAAGTGGTACTTTCAAAATGAAAAAAAGGGCACAATGGTTTTTCATAGTAAAAGAAAGTTAAAGGGAAAAAAAAATAAAGGGAAGTTACCTCATTTTAAAGTGAGGACATTGCCACAAGACTTTGAAGTGCTAACATTTTGTTGACATTAACTAACAGAGATTTTGTATTTAAATGCTAAATGCTAGAAATACAAGATGGAAGGGTAAGGGAGAACTAAATTTTACTGAGGCTGATCTGTCACTTCATATTTATACAGTAGAATACGTTGATTTATAAGATTTCTTTACAATAAAACATGCACCGATGAGTAATCAACCTCGGTAATTGCTCTGAACAGAAGTTGAACATACCTCACCGTTCCCGGCCAATTCCTCAAAGTGAGTAATTACGTCTTCAAGTTGAGAAAACTGAGTCAAATACTTGATATGCAGCTCATTGGTATCAAATTGATTAAGCTGCCATTGGGAAAGACCGTCACCAATAATCTTTAAACCGCTTTTCAGCAATTCCACTCCTCTGCTAATTCCATCATGAAGTTTCCTTTTTTTATTTGATTGGTTCTTGTCATCAACTTCCATGATCTCACATCCCTCGCTCTCTTCAGCAATGACTGAAATCTTATGAACCATCTGTTTCAACAAAAAACCTTCTCTCCCTAGCAGCTCAAACTGTTCAGGGCTTGGTGCAACAGAAAGAAGAGCTATTTCCTTATTAAGAAATGTTTTAAACTCAAGCATAAATCTATCCTTATTTGTCTCCACTCCTGAAACTATATCATATGAAAGTGCTGCATCCCGTGGAACAAATTTCCATAGCTGATTGCACTTAGTACGAGCAGCAAAATATCCAAATGCGGTTATTGCTAAGTGGATGAGTGCCCAGTGCCGCTCTTTCAAGAGCAAGTGATATAATTCCCACACAGCACAGCTCTTTGCATCATCATCACTTTCTGAAATTCCCATGTGTATCAGCCCTGCCAGGAAAAGAGCCAAGTGTGGTTTGCATTGGTACAAAAGGTCTGGAGGCTCAGAGATAAAGATACTTTCAATCTCCATGATGGCTTGTTCAATATCATTTGATGTGTATAGATGTTTCAAATATGAGATGATCCCTAGAATTTCACTGAAAAGTCGAAGACAACGGTCCTTGATTACTTTGTCTGCAGTACTTTTATAGTTAGAAGTAATTGAAACCAAGAACTTTAATGTCCTTGCATCAATATCAGAGAGTCCAACCTGGCTGCAGAAAATGGGAACACTAGTCTTAAAGCTGGTACCAATATAATATTCTGGTCCAGTGAAAGAATGAAAGGAATTAGGTTGAAATCAATGATTACCATGTCCATCGGTGAAATATTAAAATTAGATTGAAACATGCATGTGAGAGATCAAATTCGATTTTATTTTTGCTTCCAAGATTTTGGAGTCTTTGATATATAGACAGAATAAATTTATTCAGAACTAGTAAAAAGCCTTTTGTGTGCATGTAATGTGTGTACCTGCTGTATGCCGACTGTGCAATTAACAATGGCAAAGCAATCAACACAAATTAATAGCAAAAATGGTTTGCAACTTATATTTGTTAATGAAGCTTATATTATATGTATTCTTTAGCTTATAATAATGGAATAATGGATGGAATGTAACAAAACCGAAATACTTACAGCAATTGCAAAGAAGCAGAAAGAATAAACACTGGAATACCAAACAAACCAGAGGAGCGTGCCGCCACTGATGCTTCATCAAAGTTGTCTATGAAGTCAAAATAATCTGATATAATTCTTTGAATGGAAGTGTTTCTCAACTCATCTGTCAGTAAATCAAGTGGAAAACCTTCCATGAACAGAGCCAAACTCAAAATTAATGATAATTGTGATCTCCCATCACCAACAAGAAACATGTACACCATGTTAACCATTGATTGTGTACCATAGGTTAGAAGCAAGCAGATTGATCTTGCCAACTTTCTGAAGGATGAATAAGGAAGGGAAACTGAGTCTGGGGATGCCAGCAGCTTAAGTAATGAACATAGTTTGCTAATGATGTTGTTTGCCATTTGTGTTTCAGCATGTCGCAGAACAAAGCACCAGCATTCCATCACAATTTCCCAGCAAAGAAAGTGAGGATGGAATAAATTCTCTAGTAAGAAAGACTCCAACTCCCCCCAAGCTGTACTTGAAGAGATGACAATCATGAAGGTTTTTAATGCTAGCAAGAGGGAGGTAAACATAGGCTGCCACACCAGCTCTGCTGTTTTTCCAGAACCATGCAATAAAGGAAGTTGCAGAACAAGTATTTGAGAATATACATCTTCCTCAACTAAAATATCCAAAAACCAATGAAGCTTCTGAGTTATCGCTACTTTCACATCTTCATTGAGCCTGAGAGAATACCTGAGGAGGTTAATAAACAATACAACTCGACCAAGTATTAGTATTCTTGCTCTGCTCATACCTTCACAACTGTTGCAAAAGATTTCATTAACCCATTCTAAGTTACAATCACCTAAGATTGGACCATCAATGACAGAATGAGAATCCCCTTCATTAATGAACGACCACTCCAGTAATTCAAGCTTCTGTTCTGATTTCAGTTTATCAGAATTTAGCAAAGACAATACCAGATCCAAGGTTGTTTCCTCCAATAGCTCAGTAATTACTGCAGATGCGCATTTCAGAAGGTTTTCATTACTTAGAAAAATCCAAAAAGAAGTGATCGTGAGAACACAGAATGTAATCTCCCTGTACACTGTATAGGCCTGATGAGGATAAAGTGAGCATATTTTAACTGCATTGATCAGGTAAAATTTCACTGGCACAAAGATCCTTTTGGCCTCGGTTACAGAAATGGATTCCTTCAGTGACGAAGACCAAGCCTCAGCAGCACATTTCAGAGGCTCAGTTATCAATGCAAGCAAAGTTACCACAATATTTGCAATGTCCACTTCTGTAAAATGTCCGCCACCAATTTGAAGTAAAGAGACAACACCTTTCCAGGAGACATTAAGAATATTGACTGAATTGCCACCATCATTTGCAGCAAGGACACCAATCTGAGACAACTTTTCTATTGCACATTTTGTTATGTTGATAGCATGGCCAACATTAATAGGCTTATCAAGCGTCAACCGTTGTTCATCGCGGGGGTCCGAGTTTACTAATTCAGAACGTACCTTACATAGTTTTACGACAGCATCAATGACCATATGTGCAACTTTCAATGTTTCTGATTCAAATGATTGAATTTTCTGCTTAGGAGAAGAAAAAGAGCTATGTTTAGCAACAGATACAAAATTTTGTGGCATCAATATGAATAGGAGAATCTCATCTCTCCTACATTGTTTTTTGCTCTTGCTAGCACTTTACTACCCAAAATTCACTACCATAGAACCTCACTGGAATAAGAATACTGAAATGACATATTTGAACATTCAAGGACTTTATTAAATCTTAGAACATCTCACGAGGATCAAAATTTCAGAGGTAAGTCAAAGGACAGATAAGTCATTGATTTCAATTTTGATCCACAATCAGAGTGAAGGTTTTTTAATACTACCTCTAAATCATGTCAACAAATAATAGAGTTTGGCTTTTTAAGCAGTTTTTGTCAGAGTCAAACTCTTTTACTAATGTGAAAATACACGATTGTGTTGTGATAACGAAAAAAAAAAAATTACTAACAGTATATCAAAAATAAATCTTAAATCATTTATTTAGGACAAAAAATTTATTTGAACCGATACATTATCCCATATTGTCAAACTTCATCTACAGATAGAAGCATATTACCTTAGCATCTGATATAGAATCTTTAGTTAGATTTAATGCTTCTAAAATGAAGGTTTCAACAATGTCCATCGATTCCTTGTCACCAAAATCAGTGAATTTCAACAACGCCGAAAAAGTTGATGCAGAAAATCTTAGGATCTCCAGAAGAAGCTGCACAACATAAATATAAAAGTAAAAATTGTGTCACCAAAATTATCAAATTAATGTTTCAAGAAGGCTGAAAACCAAGTAAATTCCTCAAAGAGCTTTGCAAATCAAAATATCCGTGTTTTTTTATTAAAAGTAACCACATTCTCAATCACCATCAAATAAATCACTCCACATGAGAAAAGAAGCTGTCAACACTTTGGACTGTTTTATTCATATTCAAGGATTCAGCAAAATGAAAAAGTGAACAGTTTTGTCAAGGGTGCTAGGTCTGTAGCTGAACATTAAATTTGTCCGGCAAAAAATAGTAAAATACTGGCGCTTGTCTGTTTTTATCAAGAAAATTAGATAGGTTTGTTTCCCCAGCTTCTTTTTGGACTTCTGCTAATGATTTACTTTCCTATTTTCTGTGCATTCATTTTGATTTAGGAGGTTCCATTGTTCCTTCATTTTTATTTTTTTATTTTTTTTGGTTCAGTTAAATTAAAATTTCAATGCCATAAATAAGTTAAGAGTCATACAGCAATGTGCGGTTATTAGTCACAGAGCAGTTCATCATCTCCTAGGATATTAGTAATAGGAAGCATCTTAAGTTTTGAGTAATTTGAGTATTAGCAATGAATCTGCCTTCAGTTTTGAGTGACAATGATCTTTAAGGACTAAGGAGATTTCTTTGGCACAGCAGGTGATTTTTTATAAAATCATAATGTAAAGAACCAATTCAATTCAAAAGCTTAAGCTGTTGGGTGAGGTTATATTAATGATTTTATATATCTCAACACGCTCCCTCACACGAGAGCCCACTGCGCTTGAAGAGTGGACAATGCACAGGCCCACCTACCTGTGCGAAAAAAAAAATTCCACTTGAAAGAAAGTGGGGGGCGGTGAAGATCGAACCGGTACACCGAGGCTCTGATACCATGTAAAGAACCAATTCAACCCAAAAGCTTAAGTTGTTGGGTGAGGCTATATTAATGATTTTATATATCTCAACACATAAAATAGGTGTTTGACTTCTATTTGGTTTAAAACAGATATGTTGAGGGATTGGACAACTTTGTTGCATTGCTAATTATTTTTTCTTTGCTTAAGAATGTGCGTCTTCTTGATTTTAAACAGAAACCCAAATTTACTCGATAGAATTTGGAATAATAGGCTAGGTTTCACATATCATAGCTTGTTTTCTAGTTATGTAATGCAGGTCATATGGATGGTTCAAGGTTACTAGCCAACACATTTTAGCCCCACCTCACCATATGTCATTAATAATGACAACTAGTGAGTACTGATTGAACAGTGTAAAACTATTCTGCTCTTCGTTTTACTGTTTTCTGTCATTCTTCATTCTCCAATGTCACTTCAGATAAGTAATCCTCTGGGAGCATATTGTAATATTGTATGGTCAGAAGAAACCATACAAAGAAAATGAAAACAGAATACAAATATTATCTCTTGTTTCCCTGTATAGATGAAAAGGAAGTCAAATTCAATTAGATTTGTCCATCATAGGCATCTTTTAAATATCTCTTAGTTCCCTGGTCTTGGGGAAACTTGGAATTTACTATTATCTACAAGAGTTACTTTTACTGCTAGAACACGAGAAGATTTATTCCAAATTATTAATCTTAGTTCTCTTCGTATCTTTCATTTGGGTTCATCTACCATCGGCCCCAATTAGTTTGGGATAAAGGTATTGTTGATGTTGATATTGACTAATCAAGGATAATATACATAATGATCGAGATGAAATATTAAAAAAAGAATATCACCAAGAAGCTTTTTTTCTGTGTAAAGAACCTTTTCAAGGACTATTTGAGAGCTCAGTCTATGACAAAAAACTCCTACCTTGTAAAATACAGAGCTATGTTCTTCTTCCTGAGATTCTTCTGTCGACAAAAGACTCATCTTTAGATGCTTGCCACACCAGATACTTGCCTAATTGATGAGAATGAGTTATAAGAAAAGACATATCTTCCCAGAAAAGTTAGGAAATGCAACAAAGTGTTAAAGTATACATGGATTAAGAGAAAAAGAAAAAGAAAGAAAGAAAACAGACAAGTAAAAAGATACCTTGACTCCAAGAGTGAGAATTAGCGGTAGACAACTAGATAAGTTAAAATCCATATATTTTAAAGCCACTTGTAGAATGCTTCTATTTAGCATGCACTGGGTGATGTCCAAACATGTGAAGTCCTCCCAAAAAGTCAAGCTTGCAGTTAAGGTGAAACAACAATGCAATTGCAGACAATTAATAGAGTTATGAAACAGCATACAAGTGAATTATGATAATTGCTAAGGTCATGAAGTTTGGGGAATGATATAAGAGCGGCAATGAGGATAATTCTGTAAATTATGTGCAATATGTTCGAGAAAACAGAAGAATATAACATGTAACGCATCCAACTGGTTTAGATGTTAGAATTGATTGATTAGAAAGCTAATAAGTAACAACAGTGTATACACAAGTTCTAAATTAACGAGCATCAGTAAAGTAGCACCAATAATTGGATTACCTAAGCCACGGGAAAAAGCTTAACATCTCAAAGTTGGACATGACATTGTCATGTTGGAAAAAGATAAGCAAGCGAGTTTGGATAGGTGAAGATGACAAAAAAGCAAGGATACTACGAGGCAGTTCATGACGGAAGCATGGTCGGACTCAGATAGTTCCTTCAAGTCTACACATCCAAGATCAGTAAACATTTGAACGCGAACTTCAACAATCTGTTTCAAATGAAGAAAGACTCGGAATTTTTCACATTAAACCCTAAAACCTGAGATCAACATGACAGCCCAATTTACAAGTAAATAAATAGAAGGAGAAGCTTGCCTCGGAAGATTTAATGGCTGCGAGTAACCTCTGCAAATCGGTGTTGGAGCTCCCTTTCGCCATTTTCCACCGTCTCTGTTCTCTATCCTCTTTTTCGTTTTGATTTTCGTTTATATATATTTCCATTTTCTAATGTGTTTGTTGTTAATTTTTGCCTCGCTGCTTTTCCCGCCATTTCTACCCTCACTCTAGATCCATTTTTTCTTTTTTCTTTTTTTTTTCGTGTTTTTCTCTAATTTACAATTTTTTTATTTTTCCTTTCTTTTTACCATTCCATCCTAAATATATATTTTTTTTTGGAAAAATTAAAAAAAAAATGTGGTTTCCCTTTAAATCATTTACCCCATGTGATTTTTTCCATTCAAGTCTTTATTTTAACACTGTTAAAAAATTGATGAATTTGTTTATTCTACCCTTTATATCATCTTGTTCCTCAAGGGTAACAATATAAGTATATTTTCTTTTATTATTCAGTTTCTGGAAATTTTTATGAAGTGCTACATGACTAGTGGTAGGAACATAAAAACTAGTAACATAGCTATTTTTAGAGGAAAACATATAAGTTGTAGAGAATGAACTAAGAGCAACAAGAGCCTCATAAGAGATAATTCAGTACGCCTAGTGTACACCATTTTCATAAATCATATATTTTTGAGAACATATATTTCAAAATTCAAACAACGGCATTTTAACTGTTAGTGAGTTTCCACTTATAGATATCATACAGTAGCACAAATGTGTTGAATAATTTCCACTTGTTTATGTGTTGAACACTCACCATTCTTGCCCTCCATAATCCACATCAAGAGTCTCAAGTATGAAATGTAATAGAAATTCATAAACTTAACATACCCCCATGCCATCATCAGAAGTTCAGAACCTTCTCGTATAATACATTTGATAACTCTGAATGAGCAAGACAGTGTATAAAAAGGGAAAACATCAGTAAATGCACAACTGTAATTAATACATACATATTACACAGACGAAGGTAAAGAAGTTGTATTAGAGACTGTTCTAAGTACAAATTCTATGGTGGGAAGGAGTTGATGGACAAAGACTTCACTGAACTCAAATTCCTCGTGACCATGGGAATCATGACTTGCCTCCACTTGCAAGCTCTCCTCTGTGCTTTCAAGTGGTGTATAGGATTCAATTCCGTGCCTCTGAAGTAACATAACTATTAGAACCAGATCATAGGTAAAAGTTCCATATTGGAACAAAAAGAGAACTTGAAGTACAAAAGGAAGCATACATCTTGATGTTGCTTCTTCAAAATAAAAGGTTTTGGCAAAAGCATCCAGGGCACAGCTAAACAACTATAAGCAAAAGCACAAGCTGGTAGGAATAGAACAAAGTGTGTAAATATTATTCTTACGGAAATACAACAAAAGAGGGGGTAGGGGTATTCGAAGTTAACCAACCTGCACATGATATAAAGGGTAGAATAGACAAATTCATAAATTTTTTAACGGTGTTTAAGTAAGGACTTGGATAAAAATAATCACGAGGGGTAAGTGATTTAAAGGGAAACCACAGATTTTTTTTGAAATTTTCCCTTTTTTTTTTAAAGAGAAAAGCTTATTTAGTTTGGAATATTTAGAGTTGAACTAAATAACATAATTTAAAAAAAAAATCAAACTAGAAACACAAACAGTTTACAATTTGACTAGTTGAATAATTCGATTTTGGGTCTACAATAGTACAATGATTAGCTCACGTACTGATTTTGATTGAAAAAATAATTAAATCAGCTCAAGGATTAAAAAATGAGTGTTCATCACTTCTAAATAATTCAATGTTTATTTATATTTATATCCGCACAGATAAAATGATTATTGAAAGAGTTCGTGTTAGAATTTTTTGTGGTCCACCATCCACAATGATAGTAGCTGATCCACCATCCATAATGAAAGTGATGGTGTGGTCTATTGGTCCACTTATATTGTCTGCTAATGATAATGGATCCACTAATTGCTCACTTATTGTAGTGGTTAACTAACTTTTGTATTTGGTTTACAACTATTTGTTCTTGTCTGTCATCAATTGAGCTTATCTTCAGAACACTCTTGAATAGACTCTATGATGGAGGAGTCTATAAAAAGAGTGCATCTTCTTCTTGAGTCACTGAGCTCACTCTCCATAAGAGCTTCACACCATCTATGCTAGATGAGTAGAGTTTGGAAGTATCGTTGAAGAACTTCGTATCAGTGTTTACAGCAACCTTTTGAGCACAACAAAAGAAGCAATGGCGGAAGGTATTATGATCTATCATATTCCGCCGCATTTCAGTATAAGTTAGAACTTACAATTCGCAAATAATTTAATATGAAAACAGTTATTTATATCCATTATTTTTGTCACCTGACGCATGGTAATCAAATTTAATGTCTTGTATCCTACTGCCGAGCTCATAACATGTTACACCAAATTCAATGAAAGTAAAATTAATGCTCACAATTTTTCGCTGAGGTTCTGATTCTTCATCACTGCTTGCTTGAAGTTGTCAGCTCGAAAAAATGGTTAATATTTATGTTAACATAATTATTTTTGAGCATTTGACAGTATATGCTGATCTCACCAAGAAGCTTCCATCCTGCGACCACCTACCACAAATTACACGATCAAGAGAGTCTTAATTGGTTCATCGGTGGCAGAGTATTACGAATCTTGTCTACTAACTAAATCCGCTAGCAAAAAGTGTTCAAGTATCTGCCAGTTCCAGTCTCCCAAAGGTGAGACACAATCTGCTACAGACCACTTCATGATGTCAGGGGTTAAGGTTTGTGTGGATTTGAATGCCAACGCTGTGCATATATATTGTACCCACGAATCCTGTCAAAACTTCGTTGACTCTCCACTACTTAAAACGATGTGAGAGTGCTGGAGCACCACAGGCCAAACTCTAACTATCCCCGTCCGGGGATTAGAACCACGTAATTGGCTTGTCTCTCGCGTCTGGCATCAATCCTGGAGGGACTCCATATTTATTTGTTTCATGACTAGCGCAAGGTTTGTGTTACGATCTAATTAGAAAGTGTTAGAGATATATATAGTCGTTCAATTGCTTGTATGTGTAACTAATGTGGTTTTACAAGGCCGTGGACACTCCCACCCTCATAAGAATCTCGTGTCCCGGGTTCAAACTTCGCCGGCCCCCACTTTCTCTTGTGGAATTTCTTAACACAAATAAGCTAGGCCGGTTGCATCATCCACTCTTTAAGCCCAATAGGCTCTTGCGTGACGGGCGTGTTGAGATATATAGTCCCATATTGGTTTCCACTCTTCAAGTCTAATGGACTTGTGTGAGGAGGCGTGTTGAGATATATAGTCCCACATTGATTAGCTTTTGGGGTGGTGTATCCTAAAGTTCTTTACTTATGAAACTTGACTCCCACGTCACAAACATAAAAATGTGGTCTCAAATTTATATAGATTTTAAGCTCTCCTACATCATCAACTAATTTTTGGAATAAAGTTCTTCCAAGATTCTTATATCAATTGATATAAAAGGCTTTCATTATGTCTCCCAATTATGAGCACGGGTGCTCCTCTTTTGTTGAAGGGCTTTAAATTTATTATGTTGCTGGATAGGAAATAGCCAAATAAGTAATGCTATAGACACATAATAATAGGGCCGACCATGTAAAAAAAACAAAAATAAAATGATGCACACTATTCAAAGGGTCAAAATGGAATTTTTTTTGAATACATCGGATGTACTCATTTGGTACATCTTTTTTCGAAATGAAAAAATTATTTTTTCATTTATGTTCTTGTTTTTCTTTATTTTTCCTATTAAATTCCAAAAAAATCCCATTAGGCAAAGATGTACCTACATCTGATGTACAAAAGGTTTTCTTACATAAAACATGGTTATTGTCTCACAACATGATTTTTAAATTTCCCTTTGTTAAATGGGAAAATTCTTATCTCATTTAAATCAACATATTTATGTTTATTTTTTATCTAAATCCCAACTTTTTACCCTTTTTAGAAGGGATATATGTAAAATAAGAGTACCCAAGATTTGTTCGTGTTAGGGTGGCTTATCCTGCTAGCAACTTATGATGCACGGACACGGACACTGGACACGACACGACACGACACACCGACACGTTAATTCTAAAAAATGTCATATTTGGACACGTTTTGATATTAAATAAAAATTTTAATATATATAATATGATTTATATTTAATACATATAAGAATCCATAATAAGTCATATAACCAATTAAATATTTAAATTTTATTACATAAATATAAATATAAATAATTTTTCGTAGTTTGTTAATTTTTAATGTCAAATTTTATAACAGAAAAAAATTAATTTATGAATTATTTCTTTTATATTTAGTTAACAAAAAAAAATTAAGATTTAAAAAAAATAAAAAAACAAAAAAACAAAAAAAAAAATAAAAAAATAAAAAAATAAAAAAATGTGTCCAAATGTGTCCGAGCGTGTCCCCAAATGTTGACCGCGTGTCGGAACATGTCGGAGAGTTGACCACATGTCCTCAAATGTTGACCGCGTGTCGGACGCGTGTCCGTGTCGGACCCGTGTCCGACACGTAAATTTCCAAAGAAAAAGCGTGTCCGTGCATGGGAGCTAGCAACAATATATTTTGTTGTTGCTCATAGTGACAATTGCAATCGAGCGGTGCTAAGGGTGATGTTGTGCTAACATGGATGCTAACACCAAATGTGTTAGGGGAACAAATTTTGGGTATAGGAGCACCAAATTCGGTGCGCTTCTTTTCTCAAATGGGAAAATTCTTATCCCATTTAAACTAACATTTTTTTTTTATTTTCCTCTAAACCCTAACTTTTTACCCTTTTTAGAAGGGATGTATGTATGCAGGAGTTCCCAAGATTTATTTGTGTAAGGGTGGGTTGTCCTCAATATGTTTTGTTGCCATCCTCTGAACCTTGACTGGATCCTATCCATGACATAAGTAAAAGAAACCAAGGGGCCCACCCGCTTCTGATGTAGGGGGTGACCAAATATACTCTAGACCTCGAGAGTGATAAAAATTCCGCGAAAATAATACTCGTCTTGCTTTTGCTTACCCATTGACCAGAGGAGACACAAAAGCAGTCTAGGATTTCCCCCACCAACACTGCTTGATTAATAGTGGCTTATGCAAACAATAGTAAATCAACTACAAAAATAAACCTTTTCTAGCATGACCTAGTTAATCAATTGTGCTAGTTTTTCAACACATATCACAGAGAGTTAAGGGGACAGTAGATCTCCCCATCGAATTCCTTTCTAGGCACAAAATCGTTAGTTGTACTATCATTCCATATAATATTCATGAAAATGAATCTTCTGATGTGCAAAAAAAACATGATATGATCATGTGGGAAGATCACAACTATACAAAAGTAAATCAATGATTATGATGTCGTAACTACTTATTTTAATATTTTTTCTATCTCCTCTTTTATTACCATTGATCCACTTTTGTATGATTATGATTTTCTACATGACATGGTCATGTGAATTTTCACATGAGAGAATCTGGATCCAATATTCACAGAGAACGAAGTGAACCATATTATTAGATCAATGGTATTTGCAGCTAATCCAGATATCGTTAATGAACATTTAAATTATACCAAATATAAAGGTTACGAACTTGAAATTATTAATATTGTTTTGAAAAAGAAATTAACAATAAAATAACTTATCAAAAAATAAAAGTAACCACCATATTCGTAAATCAATTGGCACGAATTTATTCCCCTCGAATTTGAGTATTAAATATATTAAAATTTTGATAAAGAAATTTTTAGCATCTTTATTATCCTTCCGACTCGAACTAAATTAATAGAATAATTGGTGGTAAAATAAAAAATAAAGTATATTTTGGATCTTCAACAAAAATTATGTGGTATAATTTAATTTATTAAAAAAAATTCGACTTATGATCTTATTTTAAATTTCATAAAGATCATAAATCTATTTTTTTTTTTTTTTTTAAATTAAATTGAACCGAAACTTATAATATTTGTCGAGGAGAAAAAAAATATATACTTTACTCTAAAATAAAAACTAGCATGAATTAACTCATCATTATGTTGCCATTTGTTTTCGGTAGAAAGCGTTTGGGAGGTGGAAAGAATAAAGAAAGTTTTTGTCCACTGTCCATATCCGCAGCGCGCTAATTTAAGCAAAATATTGTTCTCCGACGTCTCCGTTGGAAACTCCGAGCCTCATGGAACGTTTTCCTCTCCCTCTCTCTTTCTCTCTCACCATTTTCCTCTCTAACAAACCTTCTTTCTCTTCTCAACAAAATCCGAACCTCAGCTCCAATTTTTCTCTTTTCGCTTCTTCCAAGCCCACCCCAAAACCTTGTATATTCCCTATACAGCAAGCTTCCGAGCTCAAATTTCATGCTCGCGTTCAGTTTATGGACGAACAAACAGGTACTCATTTTACAAATTCATTGGTTTTATGTTTAGTTTAAGACCAGAGCCTCTCATTTTCATTATTATTCCATAACACTCTTTGTTTCTTTCGGTTTACTTTGAAGAATGGACTTCGTATCTGAAAATGTATTATTATTTTTTTAATCACGTGCCTATTCTTGCAGAGTTGAAATTCTTGAGTTCCTGCAAATTCCTTTTCAGGGCCATGCAAATTCCTTTATGGCGAACCTTCCATATTCTTAATGGTGGGAAAAAGTTTCTCTGCTGATTTTAATTATTTTTTTTAGAGGGATTTAGTAATTGAGTTTGTCACCTTCAGAATATGGTGATTAAGACAGGGGTAGATGGCATATGAGAATTGAACACGGTTTAATGTTTGACAATCCTTTGTGTTAGATAAGTTGTTATCTGGAAAATTAGTTTTGGAGTGACAAGATATAGGATTTATCTGTATCACTTTGTGAATCGAATGTGTAAATTACGATAGGAGAAAACTTAAGCACAGGTCAAATGTGGATAGAAATTGAGAATTCAATGCTCTAGTGCTAAAGGCGGTTACGTGGAGCTAACTATATGATCTTCCACCATGAGTAATGAGGATCCCGGCATTTCAGGCAATAAATATACTGTTAGTGTTGGTTTAAGTGACCAAGTCCCGTATGATAATGATGCAGACAATATATGTGTACAGACGGGTGAAGAATTTTCTGCTGAGTTCTTACGCGATCGGGTTGCTTTAAGGAGATTTCCTATCATAGCCGATGCAGACCAGCGCCTGCCAAATAGATTGGATTTTAATACTAATTATAACTACCAGCTGGTTTATGAGGATCTAAAGCATGCTCTTGGGCTAAGGAGAATGGATTCTGATAGTAACTCGGATTCGTCAGAGATTGCTTTACCCAGGGGATACGTTGCTGAAGTTGACAACAGGGCTTATCCTAATAATTTGAGTAGATACCAGCTAGAACATGGCAGTAACAGACAAGTATCAGGTAATTTTTCTGAAGGAGTTTTTTGTGATCAAGTTACTTCAGGACCAAATGCTCCATCTATTTACACCATTGAGTCTCCTAGTTCTTGTCATCCTCATGGATCCATATTCTCAGAAGGTTCTCTCTATAAGAAGATAAAGTTTCTGTGTAGTTTTGGAGGTAGAATACTACCCAGGCCGAATGATGGGAAGCTCAGATATGTGGGTGGAGAAACGCGGATTATATCAATCAGGAAGAACATTACACTGGAGGAACTAATGAGGAAGACTTCTGCTATTTGCAATCAAACTCATATTATCAAATACCAGCTTCCTGGAGAGGATCTTGATGCTCTTATTTCTGTTTGTTCTGATGAGGATCTTCATCACATGATCGAGGAGTATGAAGAGCTTGAAAGAGCTGGAGGCTCTCAACGACTGAGGATTTTTCTCATACCTTCAAATGAGTCTGAGAGTCCAAGTTTCAATGAAGCAAGAGTCAATCAGCCTAGTGATGCTGATTATCATTATGTTGTTGCTGTTAATGGTATGCTGGATCCAAGTCCACGAAAGAATTCCGGTGGGCTGAGTTTGGCAAACCATACTGGCCAGTTTGGAAATACCTCTGATTACAACAGTCCACGTTTCCATAAGGATTCATCCACATCTGCATTGGCTTTAGAGGTGGCGGATTGCAGCCCTACTTCTGCAAATTTGGCAGGCATATTCTCCAAACCTGGTCCTCAATTTTTAACAGCACTGCAGGTAGCAGGCAAGTCATTTAATCAAATGCCTCCTTTATCTCCCATTTGTGTACAGCCTAAAGATCCTAAAAATTCTAATGTACAGCTATTTATGGATCAGCCATATAATGTTAATGAAAGTATTATTCCCTTTGTTATGGAAAAAGTTACACGTGACAACTCTTTGTACGTAGACAATAATACCGATTACGTTGATCCGATTGCATTCTATAACAATCTTGCTCAAGGGCCTCCATTTGTGAACTACCATCCTAGTAATCAATATCTGTTGGAGTCTGATCAGGCCAGGAAGCCTATTGATGATTTTCATTTTCACAGACAAAATAACAGCAAAGATTTTGACTCTTCTGCAATATGTAGTCAAACTGATATGATATTTGAGAAACCTTTAGTTACCAACGAAGGTTCATATCAGTTTAACAACATCGTCTCTCATCCTCATGATTCATTGAGTTTATTATCAACGTCCGGTGATAGAAAGGGATCTCAGTACAGAATATTGCATACACTTTCTGACTCGACACTTCAGGAGAATGACAAGAACTATAAAGTTCACTTGCAGTTTCCCCGTAGTGTAGAAAGAGACAAATTGCCATCACCCGAAACTTCATGTTCTTATGAAGAATTTTCAGTACAACCCGGAGAGATAATTGATGGGAAAGAACATGTGGCTAAGTATCAAAACTTCCCCACTTTTGGAATGACTGATAGTTGCAAGAGAGCACCAGGGATTGGTAAAGACAACTTGCAACGTGCAGAGAAAAGCAATGATTGGTTTGAAGAAAATGTTGGAGATATGTCACGAGGCAGTGCCATAGATTTAAAACATTCACAGTACATCAACTACCAAAATGTTGTTTGCTCATCTTCGCCAGATTTACATAGCACTGAATCACATGTATCTGCTGCACCATTTAACTCTTTAGAATCCACAAGGAACTCGAGGAAGCAACCACATGGTCTACCATTAGACACAACTGCTTCTGAGTTTTCCATTAGGAGCCAAAACTCATCAATGCATCACCAATATGCTATGCTTGAGACAAAAGACAATCAACCACTCCCCCCTGTCTCTTTTGAGTTGCAACCTATTGTGTCCCAAACTGACAAAGAGTCCATACCACCTATCTCTGTAAGTATAATTCTGTTGAATTTATCAAATCACCTGCGAGCTTGCATATCATAATTTTAGTATTTGCATATGGTAATTCAGTATACAGACATGGGTTCTTCTTCCCTAAGAGAGGTTGTTATCTCTCATGAGGATCCTGCATACTACCTGCACCAAAAGGAAGAAAATGCATTCATTAACAGACAATCTTCTGGATACATCAATGAATTTTGCGCCAACGAGCCAGAATCAGTAGCTGTTGCCACGGGGCCAATTGATTATATTTCTTCAGGTATCCAGTCATGCTTACAAATTGTCTCAAATGTAGATGAAGAGGTTGAAGTTGAACCTACATCTCCTGAAAAGGAAGGGGTAGAGTGCGTTAATCCAGAATCTGAAAGTGAGGTGAGAATCTCCACATGAAATTTCTGTTTACAGTTCGTGATAAACTGATTTTATAATTGACATGGGGTTCTTGTCTACAATGATAGCTTGCAAAAGCTGCTGGTGGAAACTTCAATAAGCCTATTGGCGATACAGCAACTGCTGAAACAGGGGCTGAAATTTATGGTTTACAGGTATGGAACCCCTACAATTTGGTATCTTATGCATATTATTATTTCCTTCTTCAAATCATGAATGCTCAAATTTCATTTAATTCTTTCTCTGTTGAGACAGTATGCTGAGTTTGCTGACTAACGTTTTAACATGAGGTTGATGATAAATGTTGTACACTCCAAACTAAATTGTCAAAGTTGAAATTCAGAAATGTGATGTTTACTTGTAGAAAGAGTGATACTTCAATTCGTCAACAATTGTGTACTCTCTTTTAGAATAGACAAGTTTTTCAAAGCCATTGTTATGTTTCACCTCTGAATTCTGATGATGATGATATCAGCCTTGTTTTCCTAATCTCAAAAAAAAAAAAAAAAAACGAAGCGGTCCTCAAAAGGGAAGTTGGCCCAAATTGGACTGGTTCGGGTCTGTTTATCCAGAAAAACCTTTTACTTAGGTTCTGTATTTTCTTAGGCTTGAGAACATTTGCTTGCCCATTGTCATGATTTGAGCTGAACTGTGCTTGTTTTTATTTAAAAATGTCAAACAGAGCCTTTTGGGCCAACCTGTTTATCCCTAAAAACTTTTTGGCCTGGACGTGTTTTCTGAGGCTTGAAAAAATTCCTCCAACCGAAAAGGTTGTTGCCCAAAACCTGGCCCGTTTGTTTTATTAGGCCTGAAAGAATGTCTCTATCCAGCCCAGCCTGAATTGGGCCAGGCCGGACTCATTTAGCTTGAAAAGCTTTGTTGGTGAACTGTTCTCTTTCAGGTAAAAAAATGGGCCTGACCTTTTGTATCACAAAATGGTGAGGTCATGCTAGGCTTGCAAATGCCAGTGCTGGACATATAAAAAAGGGTAGTTGGCTTGAATTGTGCTGGGTCCATTTTCCTAATAAAAACCTTTGGGCTGGGCCGTGTTTTCTATACCCTTTAGAGGCTAGTGTCAAACATGAATAAGAGGGTTACTCTGTACCCCACCCCACTAAAAAGAGGGGGGGGGGGGGGGGGGGGGGGGGGGGGGGTTATTTGTGTGTGTATGAATAAGTTATATGGCATGAAATTTGTATTACAAATTTTAATTATTGGACAACATAGTTATAAATTATATCCTAATTCCTCCTGTAACATAATCTTTCCTCCAGTTTGTGTCTTCTTTCTTTATTTTATTATTTTGCTGTTTTAGAAGGTGGTGGATCAAAATCCATGCATATCTGTGTTTAACCTAATGCTTCAGATGCAAAAATGCAGATTATTGAGAATGGTGATCTTGAAGAACTGCAGGAGCTTGGATCTGGAACCTATGGAACTGTTTATCATGGAAAGTGGAGGGGAACTGATGTTGCAATTAAGAGAATAAAAAGTAGTTGTTTCTCTGGTAGATTGTCAGAGCAAGAGCGGTTGGTAAGTCTCCATAAAGTATAAGCAAGTTGAATTTGCTAGCATACTTTATTTAGTTTTCCTCTCAAACTTATATTTATATAATTACTTGTAAAAAGTTATGTATGGAAAGTGCTGCCATGATGAATGAGGAATTAAATTTCATTGACTTGGAAAATCTCATTTTTACTGGCCATTCACATAAAAACCTCTTGTTTGACATTGTTTCTTGGTTATATGCATGCTGCATCTGTTTCTGCAGGGTAAAGATTTTTGGAGAGAGGCACAGATTCTGTCAACTCTCCACCATCCAAATGTGGTGGCATTTTATGGGGTAGTTCCAGATGGCCCGGGTGGAACATTGGCAACAGTCACAGAATACATGGTGCATGGATCACTCAGGAATGTTCTCTTGAAAAAGGAGAGGTAAGATAACTCACATATCTAGCTTGCAAACTGTTAACTAGATATAGAATTTATCAGTCTTACTAAATTGTACTTCTTGCAGAGTGCTTGACCGTCGTAGAAGGCTCATAATTGCAATGGATGCAGCCTTTGGCATGGAATATTTGCATTTGAAAAATATTGTTCATTTTGATTTGAAGTGTGATAATTTACTTGTCAATCTGGGCGATCCTGAACGACCTGTTTGTAAGGTACTTTGTAGCAGAAACAAGAATTTAATTTAATTTGTTTTTTTCTGACTCCTTAGCTTTTAAGCAAGTCTTATTCCCAAACATTTGATGCCATAACAAATGAAAAGAAAAAATCACAACTATTGGAGTCGTTTTATTTTTCTATATTAAGCCTTTAAGAAAGTTTTCCCAATTATTGATACAAAGTTAATCCCAGTTGTTATCCAGTTTCCATACTAATTATTAGCTTTTCTTATTTCTTATATCTGTTTTTTAATTTCTGTTTTCAGGATATAATTTCTTCATATTTCACTGTAGGAGTAGTTTTGTTTAAAGAAAACTATTGGACTGACCTCCTTGTTGGATGTCTGATCTATAGGTTGGAGATTTTGGCCTATCAAGAATTAAACGCAACACACTTGTTTCTGGTGGTGTTAGAGGAACCCTTCCATGGATGGCACCAGAATTACTGGATGGTAACAGTTGTAGGGTATCCGAGAAGGTTAGGAACTTCATCTGTCTCTCATCTGCATTTTATTAATTTTGAACATGCGCTTGCTGGTGGATGGAGCAATCGCTCTCCTGGAGAATGTAATATTGAGAGTTCCTGTCTATTGTAGGTTGATATTTTCTCATTTGGCATTACAATGTGGGAAATATTGACTGGGGAAGAACCATATGCTAACATGCACTGTGGTGCTATCATAGGTAAGGTTTTGTCATGTGTAACTTAAAACTATGCCTTTAATCTGAGTTTTTGTTACCAGATTCTTCGAGAGACCTGTCTTTTCTGTCATGAATGCGAATGTCACTTGTATCTTGCAGTTAGCCTTAATAAATATAGTGCTTGTTGTACCCCCTCACCCCCCACTAAAAAATAAATAAAAAAATCAGTTTTGATTTGCTTGCCAAACATCTGTTTCGGAAAACAAACAAACATACGTGAAGTTGAACATTTGCTAGTATTCAATCAAATCAGTAGCAGAAATTCTAATACATTGGATGCTTAATACTTCCTAGGATGCTTCAGTTTAGCCAAAGACCATGAAATTTAGGGAAAAAATAAGAAAGCCTCAAAAGTACATTAGCGAATGTGCATCCACCATTGATTTAAGTGAAAGTGCCTAGTGAACTTAACCCACTTTAATTCAAGGGTAGATAAACTCTCACTTGTGCACTTAAGAGGTTTTCTCACATTAGAGGAGTCTTATCCAATTTTATTTATTTATTTATTTTTTTTAATATTCCTCCGGATGAAATGATAATGATATACCTCCTATAGCCTTTATTGATTTCTATTTATTAAAGTATTGCTTATAGGCATGACAGTGTCACTTTTATAACTCATCAAGGTGACACTCAGCTTGACCATTCTGGACTGCATCAATCTTAAGTTCTTCCTTGTTAACATTGTATGAAGTAGAAAAGATGCACTTCATTTGCCATACTTAGCCAATAGAACTATTTCATTCTTTCCTAAAAGAAAGACATCACCACATTATTGAACTGTAAAGCTCCACGACTTATAATTCTTTTGTTTCTGGTATTTTTTTACGAAACTTAGATAACCAGATCCCAGGTTATATACCTATATGCGCGTTACATGTGCATTTCTAGCTTAGGTTTGATGATATGTTCCAAATTATCAATGAGCATATTGCTTACCACTAAACCTTTGTATTCTTATCACTCAACAAAAATTGTCCTGCAAACCTTTTTTTTTGTGTTTTTTTATTTTTTAATTCTAATGATGAGTTTGTTCACCACTAATAATGAAGGAGGTATTGTCAGTAATACGCTCAGGCCCCCTATTCCAAAACGCTGTGATTCTGAGTGGAAAAAGTTGATGGAAGAGTGCTGGAGTCCTGATCCTTCAGCCAGGCCATGCTTCACTGAAGTTAAAAATAGACTTCGCAACATGTCAGCTGCACTGCAGAAAAAGAGACATATCAATCGATGAAACTTACATTTTCTTGTAAATAAATGCAAAGACCGAAAGAAAGATGGAAATAATTGTTTAAATTGGTTAGCATTGTATGTATATAACCATAGTGTAGAGGTATAAGCTGAAAATGAGTAAAAGCCATTTATTTATATATATGTTCACTGTCCCACACTACGTTATTTTCTCCTTTACTACAAGCAAGCCCATGAGTGAATAACATATCCTCATAAGGGGCTCGCTACATGGCAAATATTTTCTGGATGAATAACATCTCTTTATGGGATCAGTTTTACAAATAAGTAAAGGGATAATATAGTTTCCTGTTGGTAGAGAAATTGGCCTGCACTCACCGTTAAAAGTTGTGCTATTCTTTTTTTTTTATTCATTGGGCCTTCGATTTTTGTGTCTGAGGAAAAAAGTCTTTCCTATTACATAAGAGACACAAAGCCATAAGTAAAAGGGGATGTAAATACTAAATAGATACCTAGGGGTGCCAATATCCCTATCTATAATTTATGGGAAAAACACCTCTCCTGGTGTTGGAGAAGTGTTTTCTTTGGAGAAGTGTTTTCTTCTGCACTCTTCGTTTTCTATGCTTTGTTTTTTGTTTTTAAAATATGTTGACCCCATTAAAAATTTCTCTGTAGGAAACTTATAACTTCTCCTATAAGAGAAGTTATAAGCCCATAATTTATTCACACCGAATGGTACATATTTAAAATTCTTTTGACAATTTTTTTGGGAAGAGATGTTAATGGATAACATTGTTTAAGTTATAAACTTAGGGCTTGTTTGATGTGATGTATAAGGCTTGATAGTATAAGTTTATATTATACGTTATGACATTTTTAAGTTTATATAGCTGGATCCCTTTATACATCAAAATGCTATATAACTTAATTAGGCCTAGGAGGGTAGAATTAGGCCTGATAAGGGGTCGATGTATTAACCAATGCAATTCTCAATAATTAATATATTATTTTAATATTAGTATATTAAAATAAATAAATAAATTCAATATATAATTTTTTAAAATTTTGGATATTTTTATTTTTATAAAAGTTAATATATTTTTTGTGCACACTGATCAACATATTTCTATAAAAATTAATACCATCTGATATATTTGGAAGAATTATATAAATTCATTATTAAAAGGCATTTTTGTCAAAAATATTTATTTTTATCCTATCTAGTATTATACAGTGCATTACCAAATATTGGATTATATTATCTTATACAATATATTATCTTATACAATATCATACCAAACGTTGGATAGTATTGAAATTTAATTAGGTCTTATACTATCAGGCCTTATCTTATACTGTGTACCAAATATGCCCTTATAGAAGAATTTTCAATTGTCTGACACTTAACCATGCAATATGTTATATTTTAGAATTTTTTTCACAATTTTTGACAAAAATAAGTTAACGTGTTTATTAATTCATGAATAAGTGGTTCTACCAGTTTTTAGAATCTAACAACTACTTTAAAATGTAAGGGGATTTTGTTAAAATTTTGATTAATTTACCTCTACTGCTTAAATATACCACCTTTTTGAGTAATTAATTGGTTTTATGTGAATAAGCATCATATTCATATACGAGAAGAGATATTCTTACTACCAAAATTTTCTACTACCTACCTATCTAATTACCCTTGGATCAACATTTTTTCTTTTTACAAAAACTTTTTAGCATTATCTCTATTCAATGGTGATTAGATAGGCAGTAAGTTAGTAGTAGAAAATTTTAGTAGTAAAAATATCCTCCCTCTTCCTATAAAGTGTTAAATTTGACCGGAAGTACCTATCTTTACAAATAAAATGGTATTTACTCTCTCTCTTTTTTTGGGTACAGATTTGGCACATTTCAAGTCGGGTTATGGACCTGATTGGGTATTTTTCATGGGTAACGGGCCCATTCCTTTATTTTCTTTCTCATGGCGCGGAACTCCAAATGTTTTGAATCATTGAAAACGAAACACTTTTTCCTTCCCCGGGAAAAGTTTCGCGATGTCACACACTAATCGTCCCTCCCATTTATTTAATTGAAAAAAATAAAACAAAAGCTAATTGAAATTCCCTTGGCCTTGGCAATTCAATCAAATTCCGAATGCAAATGAACTCAAAGTCAAAACCAACATCGATTAGGGTTTTCGGGCAGCGAACTATTGCTTCAAGCTTCGGCTCTCTCCCATGCAATCCGTAAGTTATCTTTATTTGGTTCCTTAACTTAAAAAAACTCGATGGATTTGTGATAACACTTTTGCTTGAACTGGAATCAGATCTAACGATTCTGAAGGAAGTGTGAGAAATCAAGCTTCAAAAAAGAGCCAGTCCAAGCATGTCTCGCTTTCACACTTCCTCGACCGCAGGCTACCAAAACCTTCTCTACTCCCTCAAACGGTTCCGGTAATTTTATATCATTTGCTTTCTTTTTTTTAAATAAAAAAAAATTTATTAATTCCGTTTTTTAACCTTGTAGATATTGCTTAACAGTTAACAGATGAATGCACACAATAGATTATTTAATGCTAAACAAGTAGGGGATGTGTTGGGCGGGTTGATGATGTTGAACGATAAACAAGCAGCTAATAAGTGTGTTGATTTATTCATCATTCAATTCAAAAGCACATGGTTGTTTTTTTTTTGTTGAAATTCTCTATTTATTTATTTTTTTTAAAAGGGAACATCGACGCCCTTTCTTTCACCTTTGAGTTTAAGAGTACCGAAAGGTGAGGAGGGTGGAGCTGTCAAACAAGTTGAAGAAGAGAGAAAAGATGTCGGTGATGAAAAGGTGATTTTTGAAAGGTTCAAACATACTGAAGACGAAAAAGAAGACTTTGTTAGTCCATTTGGTGTTGATGAATTAGAAAATTCAGTGGCAGATGATATTCAAGAATCAAAGAAAAGGAAAAACCCATTTCAAGGTTTGCCTTTCCATCCTAATAAATTTGAGCCGGGGGTTGTTAAAATCAACGATTTAGTATGTACTTTATTATTTGTTTTTCGGACTGGAAATTTCTAAACGATATTAAGGAAAAGAAGTAAGATATTTATATTACCAAAATTTTTTACTACCACTCTAATCACCATTGGATTAGAGAAAAAGTTGAATGAAGAGAGAGAAAAGAAAAGAAAATTTGAATCCAATGGTAATTAGAATAGCAGTAGAAAATTTTAGCAGTATGAATATCCTACCTCTCAAAAAAATAATCCAATCATAGAATTATTACCTAAAGCTTTCTTGACTAATCATTTCACATTAGCTTGTTTTCCCAAAGTGTTTATTAATGTTATAACTACATCTAAGATTCAGTCTATTTTTCTTGAAATTTTTAAAAAAGTAGTAATTTAGACTGAAAACTGCTTTAAATCCATCTTTGGAGGATCAAGTTCTTTGTATCTCTGATTTCATCCTTTGGCCCCTTGTTCATGGGCTTCCTTTACTTTTACTATATAACATGATTTCAGTTTTTTGAGTTTGTTCAGCCTTATAGATGACTCTGGTGAGAACCTCATACTGCTTTTAGTTTCTTATTGTTTGAGAAATACTTCTATAGTTGGCCACAACTTTTGGTATTCTTGAATATTTATCAATCATACAATATTCAAATGATTCTTTATTGGGTATAGGGGCAGCTGTATAGTGATTGTGATTGAGATTGAGAAGGCTGTTAATGCTAAAACACCTTTATTTTTTGGGGCTAGCTTGGTGTCGTGACTCATGAACCCACTATTCTCTAGAGAAGCTTCCACTTTATAGTCAAACCTATAGTTAATCTAAAGAATCAATTGAGTCTAAAAGCTTAAACTTTTAACTGAAGATGCAGTTAGTGGTTTTTTATGTATCTCTAATACGTCTTCTCATATGAGAGTCTATTGGACTTGAAGGATAAATGATGCAATCAAGTCAGCCTATCTGTTCTAAAAAATTTCACAATATTTAATTATTTTTTATCCATAGAATGGAGATTGTGAGGATTGAACTCGTGACCATTTAGACACATCCGCTTTGATATCATGTAAAGAACCAATTTAATCCATTGAGATTTTAAGTGAATGCCCAATTAATAGTTTTTCATATATCTCTTAATGCACGCATATAAATTTTAGTTTTGTGGTAAAGCACCCAGAAGGATTGCAAAGTTGTTTCCTTTGCCTTGGTTGGAGGATGATTTTGAGCGTGACTATTACACGTGAATCACCCAAAGAACTGGGTCTTGCTTATTTGCGCATAACATCATAGTTTTCGACCAGATGAATATACTTTTAGTGGATAATTGATGTGAATGTGATAGCATGCCTTAAAAGATATACATGAAGCCATTTTTTACGGAGGTCTGGCTCTGTTTGATTATTATTTTTAAAATCAGTTTATTAGTTTTCAGAACAAAAAAACAAAAAAAATCATTTGGTAGCACATTTTTTGTAAAAAATGTTTTGAAAACTATAACTGTTCTTTTGTTTTTAGAATCAAATTTAGAGAACATGTCTGAATTGTTTTTGTTTTTTGTTTTGGTTTTTAACTTTCAAAAAGAAAAAAAATATAGAATACAACTGTTTCCATAATTATTTTTCAAAACAGTTTTAAGAACAAAAAAACCAGAACACAATCAAACAGGCCCAAAGTTTCTCTGTTTGCTGTTCTTCGAAAGACTGCCATAATAAAAAAATAAAAAATAAAAAGACTGCCATAAAAAAGAATGACTATTAGGTTTGCAATTGAACAGTCAAATACTTGTAGAGCTCTGGATCAATATTAAGACATGCTAGTCCTTTTTTTACAATTTTTTTTTTGGAACATTTAATAGCGTTATTGTTTCCTCTCTGGACCTTGTTGCATATGTTAATAGCTGGAAACGAGAACCAAACTGTTCGAGAGCATGTGGTAGTTCTTGGAGGTGAATCAAAGTTGAAGCCAAAAGGACAAATTGAAAATAACTCCAGCAACAAAAAGCCAAGACCTCTTTATAATCACTGTATGATTTACATGTGTATATATATTTTGTGTTATATTTGGATGGTGGATTTGAAATCTATCATAGACATTAAGGTTAACATTATTTAATAAGCAGATGCAAATGGTCGCGGCTGGTGGGACTACGACATGGAAGGGGTTGACAACGAGGAATTGGGCTTCAATGAAGTATGGGAGGGGGTGGGATCCACCTCACTTGGAGGAATAGTAGACTGGCATTGATTTTGAATTTTACATGTACGTGTTTGAAAAAAAGTTTGTTACTTTGTAGCTTTGACATCAATGCACTAGACAGAAAGTCATTCGAAGTGTGTAGATACTGAATTCACTTTAATCTATAATTTGTTTTCTCCAAGTTATATGTTCAAAATGTCAACATTTACCTTACTAATTTAATAATCTTGAATGTTCAAAAGGATTGCAAAATAAATAAATAAAGTTTGGCACGTATTACCGATGGTATCATGTGTTGCTATTCATTGTTATACGGATGACTCAGTTGCTTTGCTTGAATCCTAAAATGGTTAGAAGAATTGTTCAAAACTTTTGCAATGTCTCGTGGAAGGTTATCTATTGTGAAATGTTGCTAGTGTACATATTTGGAATCGCCAGTCATTGTAACAAGAGGTTATGTATCCTTAAAGTTTCACTATTGCTTGGCTGCTCCATTTAAAAGGTATTTGTCAATTGAAAGAGAAATTTATTGGTATAGCATAATTGATACATCTGTAGAGAGAAGAATTCAATCTGTTAATGCTTTAAAAACTGCGATATGCCTTTTTTTTTTTTTTTTTCTTCTTCATGGACAAAGCTAGTAGTTATGAGCCTAAAATTCTCAATCAAACACTACAATTGTTAAATGTAACCATGATTGATGAATCCACAAGTAATCGAGGGTGCAAACTCCATCCTTAAAAACTTACGTGGGTTAGGGATCAAGTAGTAGGAAACTTTGAAGCGACCTGCGTAGCAAACTTGATTTGGATTTCAAGTGTTTTATTCATGTCAGGTAATTATATCCACAGTAGAGTATTAACGTAAAAGCCATGAGGTTAGCATCTTATTCCGTGATTGTTGTGCACTAATTATGATATAATAATCTTACTTTATTTGGTGTTTGAGACTAATCATATAGTATTATGATATAATATAAATTGACAAAAATATCCTTTTTAATAAAATTTCATATAATTTTTTAAAAATTATTTTTACTTATTTACACATTAGTTCTTTTAAACTATCAAAAAAATTTAAAAATCACAATTTTAAATAAAATATATTAAAATACAAAAATAACTTGCATTTTTTAAAATAAAAAATTACATCCTTGCAAAAAAAATTCTAAAAATTCAATTTCAAATTAATTGTGGCCCAAGGTGATGGCTGGTAGGGGTGTAAATGGGCTGGGTTGGGCCGGACTTTGGCCTTCATGGCTCAAACCTACGTAAAAAAAAATTCAGCCTATCTGTCCTACTGGCCTATTAAAGGCTTTATTTGTAGGCCAAGTCTGGCCCATTTTTAAAAATAAGAAAGTCTAACATGGCCTACAGGCCTTGTTGGCCTCCCACTGTAGATACTAAGCGAAAAAAATAATTGTATAGAGCAAAGAAAGTTCCATTCATGCATGCACTAGTACTTCTCATAAGAAAAAAAATGACAAACAAGAAAGAGTCAACATAATACCCCAGCTCTAGAATGTATATCATAGAGGAATAGAATCAAAGAAATGGAAAAAATAAGAAAAATATAATTACTGGATGCTGAAATAAAGTCTACAAAAGAATATCATTCATCTAAAATTCTTTAAATCACCATCAAGACAAGGAAAAAAAGAGTATTATTGAAAGATCTTCATCAGTAACATCATAATCCAGCAAGGTACCCATTGCTCCATGGTATTAAGCTGCAACAACATGTAAAATTTAGAGACATTAAACAAGTTTTCCTTTCATAAAATAAAATAGCACAAAAAGTAAGAGATATTGGTATTTGGTACTTTGTGTCTTTGCCACATAAAATAAATATTATTTTATTATTTTATTTTAATAAATTAAATAGGTCAGCCTACAAGGCTGTAGGCCGGGCTTGACAAAATTGGCATATGGCCTATTTGTTAAAGAAACTTTTTTATAAGTCTAAGCCTACTCTACTTTTCTGAAAGGACGGGCCTGAGCTGAGCTCAATGTAGGCCGGGTCGTAAGCTGGACTGGGCCAGCCTGACCCATTTACACCCCTAATGGCTGGTTAGTGGTGGTGGTGGTAATGACCAATGACAACGATTAGTGGCGGTGGTTGGTGTGATGGTAAAAAATGTGGGTTGTTGGTGGAAGTGGTGGTGGTGTTGTTGACTGATGACAATTGTGGTGGCTGATTGATGACAATTATGATGGTGGCTAATAGTGGTGATGATAATTGTTGTCTGGTGGTTAGGGGTGACAGCAACGATGATAATGATGGTTGGTGCTATAGTGATAGTGGCTGCAACAACATTGGCCGTGACCAATGACAATAGTGGAGGTTGATCGGTGGCGGAGGTGATTGTAGCTAGTGATAATGATGGTGGCTAAGACAACAATGATAGTGGCAAGGGCTGACCCTCCTTTACATGCCTAGTAATATTTATAGGAGAAGAGCATATCCCAATACGATATTTGTTTTGTTGTTTTATCCATTAATAACCCAATTTCTTTTTAAGGTAACTTATTCTATTACAACGATAACTTATTCTGTTGTAATGGGATAAATGAGTCAATGGGATAAGTTATTATATCGTGTTGTTTTACTAAATAATGAATAAAAATAAGATATAACAACCGATCTTATTATGTCCTCTCTATTGAAAATAAATATATTTTAATTTGAGAGAGGCACTCTACATGTGGGTATGATTATGATCAAACCAAATTAAGTCGGGTTCCGTTACCTGGCAAAAAAATTAATTATTGCATTTTAATTAAATAATTACGTATTTATTGCAGTTTTGAAAATAATTACGGATCTATTGCATAATGTGATGCCTTTTTTGGGCGTCACATGTGACGCCTCATTAGGCGTCTCTCACCAAAGGGAAGACGCCCTAATGGAACGTCTCTCATGAGATGTTAACACGTGTCATTTTTTTTCCAAAAAAATAATAATTTAATCATAAAACTTCTGAAGGCCATAACTTTTGACTCGGGTATCCAATTCAGGTAATTCTTTTTTTGATTCCACATAACTTTTCGAGATCTACGCAATGACATCTCATTTGATATATTTTATTTCTCACAAACATAATTTAAATCTAAATCAGGTAATCCTTTTTCCTTAGAGATTTAGAATATTTATTTAAGAGTAAACATCCTTTTTGGTCCCTGGCAATATCTACGAAATCCTTTTTAGTCCCTGGCAATAAAAAGGACCAAATTGGTCCCTAAAAGTATGAAAAAAGGGCCAAGTTAGTGACAGAGGAGTTGACATAAGGACTAACGTGGCCATTTTTTTATAATTTTAGGGACCAATTTTGTCCTTTTTTATTGCCAGGGACTAAAAAAGATTTCGTAGATATTGCCAGGAACCAAAAAGGGTGTTTACTCTTTATTTAATTATTTCCTTTATTAATATAGTTTTTCAAATTGATTTTTGAGTTTAAATCACAAATCAAATCTTTATTTTGTTTTTCTTATTAATAATAATTGTTACTTTTAATTTAAATCAGAGTAAACACCCTTTTTGGTCCCTGGCAATATCTACGAAATCCTTTTTAGTCCCTGGCAATAAAAAAGGACCAAATTGGTCCCTAAAATTATGAAAAAGGGCCACGTTAGTCCTTATGTCAACTCCTCCGTCATTAACGTGGCCCTTTTTTTATACTTTTAGGGACCAATTTGGTCCTTTTTTATTGCGAGAACTAAAAAAGATTTCGTAGATATTGTCAGGGACCAAAAATGGTGTTTACTCTTTAAATCACAAACCAAATTTTTTTTATAATAAAAATAAAAAATTATATTTTTTAAATTAAATCACATTTATTTTTTATATTAAATCACAAACGCAGAACTCAGAGTCTTCTGAATTTAAAAATGTAACACGTGTCAACACCTGACACATCACCAATCACGTCTAAATTGGGTTTCAATCAAGAGGCCATCACGCCTAATTTAGGTAATTTTATTTTTGAAAAACATTCATAATCCATCATTAATTTCAGACCACGAATAATAACCCAGAAGCTTATAGCATTAATCATTAATTTCAAAAATAATATCTTCCTTCCTTAGAGATTTAGAATATTTATTTAATTGGAAAAAAAATTAATTTAATGGTTTTTAATAAAATAATTACGCATTTATTACAGTTTTAGAAATAATTACAGATCTATTTAATTTTTTTTTTGTTTATTTCTACCGATTTTTCAAATTGATTTTTTAGTTTAAATCACAAATCAAATCTTTATTTTGTTTTTCTTATTAATAATAATTTTTTTTATTTTAAATTTAAATCACAAACCAAATTTTTGTTATAATAAAAAAAATTAAATCACAAATCAAAATTTAATTTATTTTTTTATATTAAATCACAAACCCGGAACTCAAAGGCTTCTTGGTTTAACCGCTCTTATAATACCATTCTTGCAAATTTAAATTGTGTTTGTGAGAAATAAAATATGTTAAATGAGATGTCATTGCGTAGATCTCGAAAAGTTATGTGGAATCAAAAAAAGAATTACCTGATTTAGATACTCGAGTCAAACGTTATGACCTTCAGAAGTTTTATGATTAAATTAATTTTTTTTGAAAAAAAATATTACACGTGTCAACACCTCATGAAAGACGCCCCATTAGGGCGACGGCGTCTTCCCTGAGAGACGCCTAAATGAGGCGTCACATGTGACGCCAAAAAAGGCGTCACATTGTGCAATGGATCCGTAATTATTTTCAAAACTGCAATAAATGTGTAATTATTTAATTAAAATACAATAATTAAATTTTTTTGTCTCCATTACCTAGGGAAGAAATAAAAAACAAAATTCGAACATTTATTTATAAAAGTATTAAATAGTTTAAGAGGACGAAAGCATAGTACAGAATACCGACATCAACGTGGACCGTTATTTAAGACATAATGAAAGGGAGACGAAAAATAAGTGATGCACGCTTCAATCCAATTGAAAGTTCTTCACCACCAAATACCCAATTTATTGATAAATAAATATTAAGAGATAGTGAGTTAGAAGAAAGAGAGAATAACATAA